GTGTGAGGTATTGCTGTTTTGCATTAGTGCTGTGGGCAGCAGCTCTTGGTGAAGGTCATGGAAGAGTGTTGTATTCCGTCCTTGGAACCTGAAGCGAAGCTGATATGGACCTGCTTACATTCAAACCACCTTGTGCTGTGACTGTGCCAGAGCTTCCTGCTGACGTCCTCGTAGCTTGCAGTCCCTGCCTGCATCCGTGGCATCCTTCGTGGGAGAGAGATGCTGAGCCCTAGCTACCTTCTGGTACATCCTGCTTCTCTCAGATTTTCCTGCAATGTAGGATAATCTTCTTTTCCTACCCATAAGCAAAGCGCAGTCCTGCTGTCCCTGAGCTTGTTTTAGTTGTTGATGAATACTAAGTTTTATCATTCCTCTTTCCGTGGATGTTTGCAGGACAAATGTAAGTTGAGATTTTTCAGAGTGTTCAGAGGTACTGTGGCTCTGATGCTTGCTGTGATTCCTGTGCTCGGGGATGCCAGGTGGGCCTAGAATTTCAGAAATGTGGAGCATGTTCTATTTGTCATTAGCTGGAGCTGAGAGAAAGTTGGACCCTCAGTGTGGAGTGGGGGATGGAAGTCATTCTGGGTTTTAATCTGCCATGTGAAAGCAAATCTAATTTGAATTGTTGCTTTGTGTTGAAGTGTCTGAGTGATTGGCAAATATGTTATTGCATAGGTTACAGGATAACTTTAGGCAGAGGAGATGAGCATTTTGGTATTGGGGGAAAAAGCAGGAAGCTTCTGCTCTGACTTGTTCTCCACAGCTGTTTTTTCCCTGTAACCATGGGAGAGGTCTAAGGAGTCTTGAGTCCCATGCCCTAACAAGGTGRGGTAGCCTGTATCCAGCAGCCTGTTGTGTGGCTTCTTGCCAGTGTTCTGCAGGAGAGAACATTTATGCTGTGAACTGCCAGCTCTTATCGGTGCATATCTTTCTCTCTGGCTTCTTGAAAAAGAAGTATATTATTTCAGGATGGTATAAATCAACTAACTGGTCACTAGAATGGTAACAGGTGCCTGGGGATAACTCATGTGCATACCACTTCCAGCTTTCTTCCTTCTCTGAAAGCCCTTCCCCTGCATGGTAGAGACAGAACTTCAAGCAAGGAAATATCAAAGGTATCCCTTACAAAAAGAAGCTTTCAGCTTTTCTTTCCAGGAGTGAGTATTGCTGAAGCGGTTTGTAATTGTGTGTTCCCTAAAGAGTTTTGTCTTAATGGAGCTGACTGTCCATACTGCTTCAGACTTTTTCTTCTACTTGAACATTAAAGCTTTTCTTGTTACTGTTTTTAACCTGACAGCAACTTGATCGTTCTCCCAGAGATCAAGTTGACTTTTTTTTTTYCCCTTCCTCACTCAAAATCGTCAAAAGGGAAATACCACTTCTTGCTGTTTTCTGCGTTCCCGGTCACTGATGGCTGCTTTGTGTTGGAGCAGCTGGGCTCTTTCATGACAAACTGAGATGTGTCCCTGACTGGTACCTCCTTTCTCATTTCCACCACATGTAAACATTTTGGATGGGGAGAGTGGGTAATAACATCCTCCCTTGCTGGCCTTTGTCTCCAACTAGCTGCCATCAGACAGTCTTTCACTGCAGGGCTGATCAGACATACGGGAAGGGATAAATGACTGATGGTATTTAGTGTCTTGGCTCACCCAAGGATGTGTGAATATTCTCCACTCCTTGGCAGAGGAATCCCTGGCATGTGAGAATGAAGGTGGTTCCTAGGGAAGAGGTTTTGAAAAGAACACACCTTGCTTCTTTGTTTCCTCCCCTCCGGGGGGTGGGGGGAGGGGGGAAGGTTAGGAAATGGGYTCGTGTTCCCACTCCTTAACAAAGCCAAGTGAGCAGTGAGAATTGCCTCCTGGGCCGTGTCAATAGCAGAACAGCAGAGGGTACTGCGGCCCAGCTTGCCTGGCAGAGCAGCCAGGGAGGGCGGTCACACCAGCCTGGCACAGGAACGGAGGCAGCACAGCCCTGCCCGGAGCTCGCTGTGCCCGTGGGTGAAGAGCTGCAGAGCCACATGCTGAGCCTGACAGATACTGATGTATGCAAATGTCAAGTGAGGAAAATATGCTTTGCTTCCTAAAACCATGTGTCCTGCTATGTTGACATGGTGTGCTGCATCTCAGAAAGTGGAGCGGTTTGTTGAATGTCAAGAGTTACAGCTTTTTGTCTGGGAATTTACCGTGGCATGCAGAGCATCACAGCCATCTGAGAAAAAGATCATGTGCCTTGTGCGATTCCTTCACCGATTGCCTTCAGCCCTGGGCTGGCCCAGAGGAAGCTGCCTGCCCTGCATTTGTGTGCCCTGTAGGAACTGGAGCGAAACCAGGGTTACCTGGCAGCCGTTGGGATTGCTGTATTAGAGCAGGTCAGTTGTTCATCTTCCCTGGGTTTCAGCATCTGAGAGAGCAGCCTGACATCTGGAAGGAATGCCATGGTGAAGTCACAGGACACCTGGGTGGAGAAAGCTGTACTCATTTATCAGTGAGGGACACTTTTTCCTGACAGCCAGTCACTGCTAATTTAGTTGGTTTTTGGCTTCCTTGTACTCTTCTCTTCCCCACACTCCAAGACAGAGCAAAAACTGGTGACATGCAAGGAAAAGGCACTGAATATTCCTGTGTCTTACAAGTGATCTTGTTGCTTCTGCGAGACATTAACAGAGCCTTAAGGAAGAAAAATATCCTGGATTAAGAYGCTCATCAATTTTCTGCGGCCCCTTGTTTTGCCTACATGAAGAAAACTCGACAGCAAGCCCCAAGATAATCCTTTATAGCTTTTAACAGAAGAATATCCAGCCCCTTTGTGGCTGGATGAAGGTGACCAGCTGGGCCATGACCAGGCATGTGATGTCAGGCTGTGGAGCTGTGGTGGATGGGTGCTGGAGGCAAGGGTCTGCCCTGGTGCAGCCCCCTGAGGAGAGCCACCCTCTCCTCCCTACCCACGTGCCTGACAAGATGGTCTCCCAGTGGTGTCCAGAGCCAGCACCCTGCGCTGCTGCTGACTTGTGTTGTGGCAAAGTATATCCAAATCCCTACTAAACATTAACCAATAGAATCAAGCTCTCTCTTTTTTCCTTGGTTATTTTTCTTCAAATTTTTCCCCTCTCATGGCTRTGCTGTAAATTTTTTGCACCAGCTTCAGGCTTGCAGTTCTTCAGTCAGAGTTTGTGGGACTCCTTGCCTTGCTACCCGAGCGCTGGGGACAATGTCAGTGGAAGGTGACTTCCCCTAAAAAAAGTGACTGCCAAGTGTCCAGAAATGCTGTTGCTGAGCTGTAAGATACAACTGTGGACAGCCCCTTTACCAAAGTCCATATCAGAGCCATCTATGGAGGGCCAGATACAATTTCCTTTGGACAGTTGCCTTCTGTCCAAATGCTTTATAGCTTTTCACTTTAGTATTAAATTCTGCTCAAGTTAATCAGTAAATGTACTTTGCTGTACTTTTACCTAATACCCTCTGAAGTGGTGGGAGTGGGTTGGCTGCTTCTTCCCTTTGCCCCCACACCTACCCATGTGTCAGCCTTGAGGAACCCTTGGGCAGCRGGGTGGGACAACTGTTAGGGGCTGGAGATGTGGGACAACTCCCCTGTGATCCCCAGGGGCAGGGACTGCCTCTGGTGAAGGCATTGTTGGCACCACTCTGCTGGGGGAAGCTTTTTAAGTGATGGGACCTCTCAGGAACTTTGGTCCTGGCAAACAGACTGCACCTGGGAGAGAGCCACCAGAATGTGGAGGGGTGAAGTGGTATGTGTCACATGCGTGGGGATCTCTGCCTCTTTGTCACTGCAGGAAGGATGTCATGCTCCAGGACAGCCTCTGCCTTGCAAAGGATTTTTGGATGACCTCTTTCCCATCCCCACTTTTGCCCCAACTTTCCTTTCCCTAAACAGCAGATGGTGAACACCTTTTCTGCTTTGCCTTGGTAGAGCATTGTGTGTGATTAGTCTTTTTTTT